ACATTACATAATCTATAGGACAATGAGGTTGGAATTTTCAGATACAAACAGGATAAAGAGTATTTTATCTTGTACTGTTCATTTTGGTGATCAGAAATAGGTGTTGTTGAATTTAAGTCTGCTTGGGATGTGTTGTAAAAATATATGTACTCAGATGTTTGCAATGACCCATGCAGTCAAACTATCACACTATTATGAAAGCTTAAACCTATCATGCTATATTTGAAAAATATATTGTAGGGCCATACCTATACAAAAGATGTCTGAAGTTTTTTTTTCAAAATACCAAACCGTTCACCCATTGTAGCCATCCCTCATATAGAGTGGCGAAGTCCCTCCCCTTCCGGGAGACCTCCATGGGACCTTATTTCGGAAAAAGTATGTATTGAAGTCAATGGAGAGAGAAAGATTATCTTTTGATCCCGTTTGAATTGTGCAACAAATTACACATATGATGTTTGTCAATTTAAAAAGATAATTTTGCAAGCCAAAAAAATAAAAATGTGTCGTAAAACTCTGAAGNGACAAGCAGACACTCAACATTTATAACTTTTACAAACTGCATGTAAAACAAAAAACTAATGGTTTAAAACTTGCATTTTGATAACATTCCAGTGTTTAGATGTTTTACATGCAGTTTGTAAAAGTTATAAATGTTGAGTGTCTGCTTGTCGTTTTGTTTACAGAGGTGTAAAAAAAGTACAACTGCTAAAATTGCAGCAATAAAAATTGTTATGTAACTGCAGTTGGGTGTTTTTCATTCAGTAATCTTCACACTGTCACTTTTACAGATGTTTTGTGTCTGAGGGGATTTGTTTCAATTCTATGGTAATTTTGTGTCCACAGTTTATAGTATACAGTATGATCCTCCAGGGTCCCATTACATTGTACATCTCCAGTTAAACAACCCAGCATCAGTGGTGGAAAGTCATTATGTACTCTATTACTCGAGTCCTGTATTATAACTTTTGTTCACATTACAAGTATAATTCAATAATGTACCCTTTTATGAAATTGGCCATTGTGTATAACCAGTGCTGATGGTGCAAATATACAATTATATTTTGATGCTAGTTTTTAGTTTGTTGTTTGTCTTTGACTTGTATTTCTACACTACACATTAGTACAACATAGAAAACCAACATCAATCATTTGTTAAATACTATACAGGTGTCACACATATTGTACTTTTTTCCTATCTAAAAGTAATTTACCCCTTGCAACTTAAAAGTAGGCATATTTAAAAACGTTTTCAAACGTTTTTTTATGCATTTAGTGTAAACAGTAAGCACTATATTTTTTCCGTGATTTGATGCTTAGATTTAATCTAATTGTTCATGTTAAACTGTTACAATCCAGCTCATGTGGTCATTCCTGAATCTTGTGCACGAGCTCTTGCACTGTGCTGTTAATCCTTGTAAGGATTAGGAAAAGCCTTGGCCGCACTGAGAGTGGGTTCAAAACGCCATGGTAACCACAGGAAAGGGGGGAAACACGAATACTGAACAGTGCTAATGATTTATGTAAGTGGTGTATTTAAGGCGACGCTCATTTGTATACTATTTGTATTCTGTTAGTGATGCTTCTTTGCCTCATGGCTTCACTAATGCACCGTACGTGAATGCATCACGAAACTGGATGGAGGTTATATTTAGGCTCGGGGAGAAAGATAGCGGTGTTGGGTGAATCCTCTGAATGGTTGCTTGGTTTTGTCAAGGACCTGCTGGTGGAGAGAGGAGGGGGTTGGCCGCTGCACACAAATACCAAAATAGGATATAGGGCTGCCTGCGACAGTCCTGCACGAGCTAAATTGAGGCTCGTGTGTGTTTTTGAAGAGGAGCGTTCTCACACTGTCGAGTACAGCAAGGGTCATCCATGGAAATAGGATGAGAGGTAAGGTATAGTTTATCTTTTAGCTTTCGAATCTTGAATTAAGGGATAGATCAAATACATTTGACACCACGAAATTGCAGTGTGTTATTGTCTGTCTTAACGTTATGTTATTGTAGAGCTGATGTTTTCCTGTGTTCTCCCCAGATATCATGTCACTCAGGCCAGCTGAAATATACACACATGACTTCTGTGATGGTGACCATGCAGCAGAGCTCCTTGGTGCTCTCAGGCATTTCTACATAAGTGGTCTGTTTACCGACGTTGCGTTACAATGTGGCGAGTCCGGACAGGTGTTTCATTGCCACAAGGCGCTGCTGGCCGCCCGCAGCTCCTATTTCAAAGTCATGTTTACAGCCGACATGAGGGAGAGGTCAAACAGCGTCATCAAGCTCATCGGGGTGGACTGTTTGGTCTTGGATGCTCTGGTGAACTATGTGTACACAGCTGAGGTGAGCATCACTCAGAGCAACGTGCAGAGCCTGCTGGAGGCTGCAGACCTCCTGCAGTTCATCTCTGTGAAACAAGCATGTGAGGAGTTTCTCATCCGCCTCCTGGATGTGGACAACTGCCTGGGGATGCACGCTTTTGCTGAGATGCACCTCTGTCCCGGGCTGGAGAGGGAGGCGCGCAGAGTGATGCTGGGCAGGTTCACAGAGCTCATTCAGCAGGACGAGTTCCTCGAGCTTGATCATGAGAAGATGGGATCAGTGTTGGCTGCTAAGAACCTCACCATGCAGAGGGATGATGTGTTGATAGATGCTGTAGCCAAATGGGTGACCCATGACTTGGATAAGCGTGTTCACTGTGCTGCAGAGTTGCTGCATACCATCCACCTGGACCTCGATGAGATTTATTTCAAGGCTACTTTAGAGGTGCCCAGACAATGCCTGCTCAACAGTGAAGGGAAGATTAAGTCTATGATCATTCAGGCTTTAAGGTCCAATGGCAAAGAGATGTCTACAACCAGAAAAATGTCTTCCAGCATGTATATCATTGGGGGATACTACTGGCACCCTCTTTGTGAGGTTCATATCTGGGATCCTATCAGCGACACCTGGGTGCAAGGAAAAGACATGCCTGACCATGCAAGGGAGAGCTACAGCATCAGTTTACTTGGAGCAAACATCTATGTGACTGGTGGTTACAGGACAAACACTGTTGAGGCTCTGGACACAGTTTCTGTTTATAACTGTGACTTTGACGAATGGACCGAGGGTTGCCCCATGATCACAGCTAGGTACTACCATTGCTCTGTGGCTTTACATGGCTGCATTTTTGCCATCGGAGGCTACAGGGGAGGAGCTCCGGAGCAAGAGACGGAATATTATGACCCTTTGAAAAAGAAATGGCTCCCTTTGGCAAAAATGATCCAAGGTATGAAAACAATTAAGTGATGTAAATGCATTTGTGAACTGGTTCTCTTTACAGGGTCAGATTAGCTTTATGATCTTGCCAGATGGAGTTTGGCTGGTTGTCATTGACATTGTTGATGTTTACCTGATTTATTTTTCTTTGCAGTTCTTGTCTACTTTGTCTTAAAAGCTGAGTTTCAGAGTTCACTCTCAACCTATAATCTGATGACGAGGCTCATGTGATTTGATTTAAAGCTCCTTGACAGCTTTCCTAAGGGAACCTGGGGATAGATTTTCTTTCTACTGCTTTTTCCGAGGTCAAGAATGAACTTTCAACCTCAATAAATCAATGCTTTCCTCAAAAATAGTGTTGTTTATATCAACTGTTGGCTAGGTTTGGTCATATTAATGGTTGTGTTCATTATTGACCTTTGGAATAGCTGCTTTACACAATTCGTAATTCAAGTTCCTTCTACATGTCTTCTTTCTGAGTTATAGCCACATCCTGAGTAGATGGAATTTGCTCTGTTGTCATGGAGATGATTCAGTATAACGACTGAATCATCTCCTGAACATAGATAAAGCTGGAACCCCCAGGAAATCAACAAGGACAAATCAATATAAAAGCAATAATACAAATGAAAACTAGTATTTAATATTATATATATTATAATTAACATGACTACTTTTATGGTAGCTCGTATTGTCAAACACATTGTAGCAGTTCTACAGTTGTAGCTAGTTAGCTAGCTAGTGAACACAGTGGAGAATTCAGTGGCTAAATGATTAATGCAAATAAATTATATTTCTCAAAAGTTGGTAGCAAAACTGGAACTGAAAGAACAGTGAATGTTGGACATAAACACTGTTTTCCACACATTAGTAGGTTCATAATATGTCAGTGTCAGCTTATTGCACTTCCCCCAACTGGTAAAAAAAAAATCAATGATGCAGGCTCAAGAGGTTAACATAGATGCGAGTGATTGATTAAACGATACCTATAACCTCTATTTCTTTTTGAAGGCGTAGGAAATGCCACTGCCTCAGTATTGGGAGATAAAATCTATGTGACTGGAGGTCACTACGGGTACAGAGGAAACTGCACCTATGAAAAGATCCAAGTCTACAAGCCAGATGTCAATGAGTGGAGTATCATTACAATAAGTCCGCATCCAGGTATGAGAAAAAGGAAGAAGAGGTTAAAAAAAATGCTTAACATTGTATTCTGATCTAAAATCTTCTGTTTTCAGAGTATGGGCTTTGTTCTGTGTCCCTGGACAACAAGCTGTATCTGGTTGGTGGACAGACAACTATCGCAGACTGCTACGACATAGAGAGAGACGAATGGAGATCAATATCAGTGATGAAGGAGAGGAGGATGGAGTGTGGGGCGGTGGCAATAAATGGCTGTATTTATGTAACAGGTGGATACTCTTACTCCAAGGGGACTTATCTGCAGAGCATTGAGAAATACAACCCTGAGTTGGACTCTTGGGAAATTGTGGGAAATCTTCCAAGCCCTGCCAGATCACATGGAAGTGTTTGTGTTTACAGTGTTTAGTGTTAAACCCTCCTCAACACATTATTGTGTGCCAAATGGATCATGGTAAAAGGAAAACTGGATCACAGTCAGAAGATATCAGGTGCACTTTTAAACACCACAGCTTGAACTGTCCTTAGACTAGAGCGATACATATTTGCCAAACTGTGAGTACAATAACAAGTATTTCACTTAAAACTCAGGGGTTCCACAGCTGGCACTTTAGCTAACTCTTGGGTACTTCAGTTTTTAACGATTGAAAGAAATACTGAAAAAAGAAAGAAGATGAATGTATGAGTATTATTCAAATACACCTCACACAAAACAACCTCAGATTCAATAGGAAGCTATAAATAATTGCTCTTTTTTTATTTGATTGTATATATCACTACCGTATCATGGGAATTTTGCCTGATTTTAAGTGAGCTAAGTGGACATTTAATTATATATTATTATATATACACAGTCACACTGAAATCTGTGTTTGGCTTCATCTTACATCTTTATGTTAAATGTTAGGGTAAAGGCTGTCTGCTTTATGTAAAGGGTTTTTTATTTAGAGTGCATTGATTGCACCTCAATGAATACTTCAGTATACAGATTAAGTAAATTTACATTTCACCACTGCCTGTAATAACATTTCCCCAACACTTTATGTATCCTACATGTTGTTGATCTGTTTGTTTTTTTGTTTTATTAGCGTGGAAATAGGGAAAATGCAATAAATATATTGTTTAATAAAATACAAGATCTGAAAACTAAAAACCTTCAGAACATTTGTGGTGTTTTACAATAAAAAGAGACAAAAAAAATAAACAGGGCGTGTAAAGCCTTCCATTGGATCTTAGCAAAGCAAACTTCATTAGAATTTTTAAAAGTAAATGAAAGAACTATCTTTTTAATTTGGGGAAGTTTGAGTCGTATCACAGTTCATATTTTATTGTTTTAAGGTCTGTGATCTAAGTTTCTGCTTGTTTTTTCAAAATGTTTTTTTATTATTTCCCCCACTTTTTATTTTTAATCATTGTTATTTTTGATGTATCTTGTCTTGCTCTGTAAAGCACTTTGGGCTGCATCTTTCATAAAAGGTGCTGTATAAAGTTGAATTATTATTATTTATTATATTTACCATAAACACTGTATGGTATTAATATTACCAATGCAGTTACCTTGACTGACAGCTACACCCGGGGGCTGCACCCGTCAACACACACAGAGACAGGTATTATAATCAGACTGTTTGTCACCGCAGCTGCTCGGATCCACACAACTGGCGGACAATCATCGTCGCGTAAGAGCGAAACGTCTCTTTTTGGTCCTCGCTGTGTTCCGTAGCACGCAGTTCCACAACGTGCAGCAAAGAGGTGAACACTTTCGGTCTGAACCACGGCTCTAAGTGCTGCAAACGGAGACTCAACAATTCGTAAGTATAACTTTTCAAGGTAGTTTAATGTGGCTCTTTTAGTTTCTTTAAATATCATAGGAAATTGTGTGTAGGTTTACAGGAGAACAGAGTATTTCTTCGTCTAGCATGCTTTTGCTAGTATGGGTTTACCCAACGCGTTAATGACTAATTAAACATTTCGCACTAAAGTTATTTGCGGCTAAATTAAAATATCACGGATTACAACATAAACTGACACGTTTACCAGACTCAAAAAAATGAGTGGCTTGGCTTATAGTATATGTGAAAACAGCGTGGCCGGTACAGCCGCAGCAGTTGAGCTAGCATGTTAGCTATCAAGCTATCAGCATTTGCATCATCATATGACCGTTTCCTGTCCTTGTCAAATAAACGCTGATGCTCATATTAGTTTATATTTCAATTGGCTTCTTCGATTTTATTTATTTAAGATCATTTCTGTATTACGCTGTAGATTTCGACCAATAATCTGGTTTTCAGTTGTATTTAATTATAAAATACCACATTGTAATATACACTTTATTTATTTTTAATCAATATTGTAGCTAGCACTAGCACATGTCACAAAAACACAATGCCCCCATAAAAAGACTAATATTTTTTTATTATTTACTAGATCATCTACAATCATGGCAGAAAAGCAAGAAAATATGTCTCCAATTGAGATAAAGGTGGCACGACAAGTGGAGGTAATTTTTTTTTTGTTAATTAGATTTTTATTATCTTATACGATTTGGTTGAATTCAACTCTAAAAATGTATCTTTCCCACTTCTAGTACTACTTTGGGGATCACAATCTTCCAAAAGACAAGTTTCTCAAAGAACAGCTCCAACTTGATGAGGGCTGGGTGGCTTTGGAGACGCTGCTCAAATTCAACAGGTTTGTTATTCTTGTCTTCATCACGTTTTCTGCTCCAAAACACTACTTCTCAAATACTAATCATTTTTATTTTAGTGATTAATTCGTAAATAGATATCCATTGATAATCACAAACATCAACTGAATGTAATAAGGAATGGTGAGGTTGAGAATTGTTCAAACAGCTGGTGGAAGGAAAGGTAAATTGCAGGATTAAAGAGCAAAACAGTGATGACTAATCTATTTTAAAACCTTTTGCATGACCCAAACCACATCATGAAAACCTTTGGTCAAAAATAGGTATTTTTTCTAGGACATTTGAAGAACAACCTCTTCTATTTAAAAAGTCTACATGTAGGGATTTGTATGTAGACAGCAGCTAGTGTGAGTCAGCACTTTGAAATCAATCCTAATTAATTGAGAGAGCAGACAGTGCAGCAGGAGTTCAGTTGCCTTTTATTTGTGAGCTTAGCTTTTTTGTTGAATGTGTTTTCCTTCCCCAGACTGAAGTCTTTAACTACAGAAATCAGCGTCATTGCCGAAGCTATCCAGAAATCAAACGCTGGCCTCTTGGAGGTAAGCGAAGACAAGACTAAAATCCGGAGGTCTCCAGACAAACCCTTACCGGAAATTAATGATGACTACAAAGATGCTCTTAAACACAAATCTGTGTACATGGTAAGTTTTTTAATTGCATTAAAACACTTATTAGGAACTCTTATGACTCACACTTTGTTGTCAGTATTTAGGCCCACCGAGCTATTGAAGTATAATACAAAACATTTTGCTACATCCTCCGTTAATGAAGGTTACAACATATTTTCATTTTATCCTTATCCTAGGTGAAACATTTGTTTTGGTTTTTTACCAACATTCTTATATCTTTTGTCATCTAGAAAGGATTTCCTCTCGAAACGACCCTTGATCAGATTCAGGAGTGGCTGAGTGAGAAAGACATAGAAAACATTCAGTTGAGAAGAAACCTGCAACGTCTGTTCAAGGTAAATTAGAAAAAATATTATCGAACAATTAACCGTAGTATGTTTTTCCATTGAGTTTTAAGGGGAGATTTGTTTCTAAATACTTCAATTTGTTGTTTACAGGGATCAGTGTTCATTTGTTTTGTCACTGAAGAGTCAGCCAAGAAGTTCCTAGAACGTACAGACATCAAATCCTTCAAAGACAATGAGATGCTGGTTTTATCAAGGTAAGATTTATCTTAGTAGACAAAGGCTTATGATTGAGAAGTGAAGTCAGCAAATATATGAAAGGTGACCTAATGTGAGACTGACATACTTTCAAAGATATGAATTCAGAAATACTCAACTCAGTTATTTGGAGGGAGTACGTACATGCAGTCTGTGCAGAGGATTTGTACCCATTACATTATCATTTAGCTGATGCATTTATCCAAAGCCATTTACATTAAGTGCAATAAACCATAAAGATTCAAACTAAGGATAACGAGAACAGTGCAGACATATCTACTTCAAAGACTGTCTTGTCTAATAGTTTTTCCTCTCAGGGTGCTTACTGTCCACCGCAATTCAGAAACATAAGTAGATATTTTGGCATGTTTGGGGTGACGCACGTTACCAAATGTCATTATCAATATTTGAATCTTTCGATTAGGTTTTTTGAATGAAGGCAAACCATTTCTTTGGTATTGTGGTTTATAAATGTAATATCACAGTACACAGAATATTCCAATAGATAAGAAGGTGTTGTGAATTTTGGATTACCGTAACCTTTTATCACGAAAATGAACATTTCTTAACAAACCTTCGAGCCTCAGTGGGTTTATTATAATAACACCGTCGTTGCTGTCTTGCTTGCAGAGAAGACTACCACGCAAAGAAAGCAGAAGACAGAAAACATTACAAAGCGGAGTCCAAAGCAAAGGCTAAACAGTGAGTACACAAACAACACCTTTCTGTCCTAAAACATACTGTGCATTTTATGATGAATTACTGACCTTCCTTCTCCCCCCAAAAAACATTTAGGGACAAGGATGACCAGCAGAAACAAGTAGAAGACAAAGAGATGGTAAGATCCTTAATAGTGCTTAAGAACGTCCAATCTCTAACTTGGATCGGCTCTGGGCTCACTCCTAATCATTTGTCTTTTGGTTGCAGGGTCTGCTTTTGAGTGAGAAGACAGGTTGCCTGTTGAAGTTCTCAGGAGAGCTTGAAGATGTTTCAAGAGAAGACTTCCATGAATTGTTCTCTGGGCATGGAAAGATCAAGTGGGTGGATTTCACAAGAGGAGCCAAAGAGGTAAGCAAAAGTCCTCCACATAAGTCTCACTCAAAGAGATGCAGGGTAGTTAAAATGATTTATTTTGATTTCAACAAGGGCACCCTCCTGTTCGACGGAGTTGCAAAGGAGGCATTCGATAATGCCAAAGAGGCACATGGAGGGGAATTGAAGATCAAGTCCAACAGTGCGACATGGCAGGTGCTTGAGGGAGAGGAGGAGAAAGAGGAAATGAAGAAGATAATCGAAGCTCAACAAGAATCCTTCAACAGAAGCAAAAACAGATGTAAATACGGTTTTTCAACCTAGCGGCTGATCTAATTCGCAAATCACCAATAGTCAAATGTATTGATGCACCTTGTTTGTATTTAAAAGCTGGAGGAAGAGGAGGAGGAGGAAGGGGAAGATCTGGCGGCAGAGGAGGAAGGGGAAGATCCGGCGGCAGAGGAGGAAGAGGAGGCGGCAGAGATCAAGGCAGGAGTAATTACAAGGGCAAAAAGACGAAATTTGACGATGGTGATGACGGTAAGTCAAGCGTCTTCCAGAGGGTCACATTTTGGTTTGATATTAAAAACAATGTCAGTGTTTCCCCTAGGTTTACTGCCTTGGCAGGGTGCTGCCCAATTTTTTTTTCGGGGCACCCACATTTCTTTTATCCTCTGGAGCTGTGGATTATTGTTAGTGATATCGTACAGTAACAAAGTATTTGTACATTAAAAAGTAATACAATACAGTACAGTGTTACACTGTACTGTATTACTTTAATTCAAACTGTATTCCCTTCTTATCATGTAGCCTACACTTCTTCCTTTCATTGATACATTTAAATCACCTGACTACAGCATATAACATACCTGCTGCAACCCTGTGCTGCTGCTGCTTCTCTCTGCCTCATCCTCTATTGCTGAAGGCAGCTCCACCTCATCTGATCTCTGATATGAAAGCAATCGTGTTATGATCATATTGATCTATTGGTGTGAGTCTAACATTAAACAAGCAGTCTGCTTGTCATACATTGCTGACGATACATTTCAAGTGGCAATTTGTTGAGTCACTGCCGCTAAATGCCGGTAGCATCAAGCTAGCAAATCCTGCATTAGCCTCACATCAACAAGTGACAGAACATCCAATTATCCTGAACTAATTTACGGAATAAACCAACTCACATCTCCTGTCTTTTTTTTCACCCAACTCATTAGACTATTCTTCTGCTGGCGTTTCATTGTTTTCTGTCAAATTCAATACTGTAGTTCCAAACCGCGGTACCTGCTCACCATCTGTGAGCTATTTTTAGAATGCGCACGCTACGTTTGTTGTCGCGTTCGCACACGTCCACCTGGGCAGGCTGTGTGTGTCCTTCTCCCGTGACAATAGCGGCTTGTGGTTAAAAAATAAACAAATTTGAAACTGGGGGGGGGGACACACACACACAAGCGGGCAGAGCTTGGGGCAATAATACAGATTTGTTGGACTTTTTTACACTTTGTTGTTCTCCTATGTGAGAATGTGAATACGCAAGGCACACTGAAACATGCACATACATTGGATAAATAACATGGGCGTTTACTTTATTTAATAAAAGAGCACATGTTCAATGTGAAAAGTGACCATAGATTACTTCAGTTGCAATTTGGTGCTATATATATTTGTTTAAATAAAAAAACAACAAAAAAAACCACCTTGAATTTCAGGCAGGGCGCGGGGCTCCCTTGGCAGGG